CTGCTGTTCAGTTGCATTAAGATGTTCTCTGCCTAAAATTATTATTGAACAAAAATGTATCAGAAAAGGCAATCTGACACTTTTTGGCTGATACAAGGTATATAGGGAAATCATTTCTTCCAGTGTACTTAAAGTTTCTGCTTTATTAACTTATGATTTATTTGGAGGACAAGGGAATATCCCCCCTACTCTCAAAACACATTCTTTTTAAAACAGAGTAAAGTCTTTTAAGCATAGTGTAGCAAGGGAACCTTTATCTTTACCTTTAGTGGTTGGCCTATTGGACCAGGATCTGGAAGATTCAAGGTTCAAATCCCCACTCTGCTATGGAAGCTCACTGGGTGACCTTGGGCCAGTCACACACAGCAAATCTACCTCACAGGGCTGTTGTGAGGATAAAATGGGGAAGGATGCAAACCCCTTTGGATTCCCCCCTGGGGAGAACAGCAGGTATAAACTAAGTAAACAATAACTAAAATAAATACATAAAAGAAAAGCTGATCCAAATCTAAACCTAACAAAGTTGGAGTCCAGGGGCACCTTTAAGACCAACAAAGGTTAATTTCATGCATGCACATGGAAGTGTATACCAAGAATTCAACTTGGTTGCATGCACACGAAAGCTTATACCCAGAATTAAACGTTGTTGGTCTTAAAGGTGTCACTGGACTCAGACTTTGTTCTTGTTGCTTCAGACCAACACGGCTGCCCACCTGAATCTAAATCTAATCCTATTTAGGCTGTAGCATCCACAAGGCTCCTGTTCTCTCTAGATCAGGGGTGTCAAACATGTGGCCCGGGGGCCTCATCAGGCCCCTCGGAGGGCTTCCATCAGGCCCGCAGTGGAACTGGCCATTTCCTGCTTCCAGTTCTGCTGCTGCCTGCATCATAGTTTGCTTCGCCAGACTCTCTTAATCACTCAGCCATTTCATGTTTCGACCTGGGTCCTATACTCAGAACTCTGAGCATGAGATTTCTGTGGTGAATGTCAATAAATCAAAAGTAGATTTGCAGCTTACAGAGCTAATGTTTTAAGCGTGTTTTTATTTTAAGTAAAAAAAATCTTTGTGTTTGTGTCCTTTATAAAGTTTATATCTCCACTACCTGGCATTACATTTTATGGCATATGTGGCCCGGCCCAGCAAGGTCTCATTTATGTCAGATCCGGCCCTCATAACAAATGAGTTCGACACCCCTGCTCTAGATCCTAAAATACTAAACTTTCTCAGGCTTTAAGGCTTCAGCCATTGGTGTTTAGTCATGCCGGCCACATGACCACGGAAATGTCTTCGGACAGCGCTGGCCCTTCGGCTTTGAAACGGAGATGAGCACCGCAACCCTAGAGTCGGATTCGACTGGCTTTCGAGCAAGGGAACCTTTACCTTTATATTATAGAGTTCCTAGATTTTTATATAATAAAACCATGTCGGTCATGCTCAAAATAGCTAAAGAGCTCCTTTTTCTCTTGCCATGTGAATAAGCTTCAAATACGGTTACCAACCTCCAGGTGGCACCTGGAGATCTCCTGCTATTACAATTGATCTCCAGATAACTACGATCAGGTCCCTTGGAGAAAAGGGCTACTTTGGAAGGTGGATAAGTGGGTGGGTCCCCAGGCGACACCCCCAGAATTGCCAAGTATTTCCCAGCCTAGAGCTGCAACTCTAGTTCAAGCCTGACCCACCCAAGGCTATGAGGCCACCACAAAGCTCCTTGATTTGTCTTTCTCGTGCGATAAACGTGCAAAGTTCGAATCCCTCCAGTGGCAACTCTAAGACCAACAAAGTTTAATTTCGTGTTCACGTTAAAAACTGTGGCCCGCTTTCAAACCACTGGCAGAACTGCTTGGCTTGCTGTCTCCAGGTCGGGAAATACTTGGAGATTTTGGGGGGTGGAGCGTTAGGAGTGCCGAGTTTGGGGCATAATAATGCCATAGATAATAATCCCAGCAATGGTATTCCCAGTAGTCATGTATGGCTGCGAGAGTTGGACTATAAGGAAGGCCGAGCGCCGAAGAATAGATTCTTTTGAACTATGGTGCTGGAGAAGACTCTTGAGAGTCCCTTGGACTGCAAGGAGATCAAATCAGTCCATCCTAAAAGAAATCAACCCTGACTGTTCCCTGGAAGGCCAGATAATGAAACTGAAGCTCAAATACTTTGGCCACCCAATGAGAAGGGAGCACTCCCTGGAGAAGAAGACCCTGATGCTGGGAAAGATTGAAGGTCAAAGAAGACGGGGACGATGGCAAAGGATGAGATGGTTAGACAGTGTCAGAGATGCAACGAACATGAAGTTGAGCCAACTTCAGAGGACGGCGGAAGACTGTGCGACTGAACAACAACAATGCCATAGAGTCAGTCCACCTCCCCAAGATAGCATTTTCCTCCAGGTGAAAGCGGGAGGTCTCCAGTCAACGCCGGGAGGTTGGCAACCCTGCCAGGCGAATGACCCCTTTCCCAGGTGCTGAAACGCCACAGAAATCCCGCCTTTCCCCCCTTCTCTCCCCGCCCCGAGGGAGCCGCCAGCTCCGAAATCTCGCGAGATTCCCCTCCCGACAAACCCGCCAATCAGCGCCACCCTTCTCCGTTCGCCCCGTGACCCGGATGTTGATATCCCCGGCCTCTGCCGCCATTTTCTCCCCAGCTTCCACTCTCCGGGCGTGCCGGTTCGGCGGTCTTCGTTTTTCTCGCGTCTTGTTTTTTTTTATTTAATCATTATTATTTTTAATTTCTGTTTTGAGGCGGTTGTCGTGAAGGTGAGGTTGGAGGCTTTTCTTCCCTGAGGGAGGCTTTGCCGGGTTGGGCGGAAAGCGGCAGGGGCGGATCTGGACCCCGCCTTGCCTCTTCGTTGTCGGGGCAACAGGGCCGTTTCCATGGAGACGCTGGGAGGAGCGGCGGCCTGAGAGGTTCTTGTGCCCCCGCCCCCCCCCCTTGGGGGGTCAGCGTCCCGTGCGCTTGCGCGGAGTTGTATTGGCGAGAGGAATAAGAATGATAACTGGGTGGGTCTTTGTGTCCCAGAATCTAGCTGTTTAAAGGGGGGGACGCGTTGCCAGCCTCCAGGTGGTGGCTGGAGATCTCCCACTGTTCCAGGTGATCTCCAGGCGACGAAGATCAGTTCCCCTGGAGAAAGTGGCCGCTTTGGACTGTGTGGGGTTGTATCCAATGTTCCCTCTAAGCTGTGGAGTCCTGTGAGCAGAAATTCAACCTTGTGAGCTACTGGCTTTAAAGTTGTGAGCGAGCAGTTTGGCCGCTGCATCAATCAGTTTGCTTTGGAGCCCCATCCTTTCTGAGCCGAGACAAAAATGTGTGAGCTGGAGGCTAAAAAACTGTGAGCTGGCTCACACTGACTCAGCTTAGAGGGAACACTGATTGTATCCTGCTGAGGGTCCCTCCCCTCCCCTCCTCAGGCTCCACCCCCCCAAAAAAATCTCCAGGTAGTTTCCAATCTGGAGCTGGCAACCAAGGCTCCCTCTAAGCTGTGGAGTCCCGTGAGCAAAAATTCTACTTTGTGAGCTGCTGGCATTGAAACTGTGAGCGAGCCATTGGGCTGCTGCATAAATCAGCTTGCTCTGGGGCCTTCCTTCCTGAGCTAGGACAAAAATCTGTCAGCCAGAGGCTAAAAAACTGCGAGCTAGCTCACCCTAACTCAGCTTAGAGGGAACACTGCTGGCAACCAATGTTCCCTCTAAGCTGTGGAGTCTTTTGAGCAGAAATTCTACCTTGTGAGCTACTGGCATTAAAAGTTGTGAGGCTACTTCATATATTAGTTTGCTCTGGAGCCATCCTCCCTGAGCTGAGACAAAAATCTGTGAGCTGGAGACTAAAAAACTGTGAGCTGGCTCACACTAACTCAGCTTAGAGGGAACACTGCTGGCAACCCTGGGGGGGGGGAAGGGAGAAGGGGGAAGTCGTGGCTCAGTGGCAGAGCATCTGCTTAGTGGGCAGAAGGTCGCAGGTTCGATCCCCGGCATCTCAGGTTAAAAGATACCAGGCAATAGGTGATGTGGAAGATCTCTGCCTGAGACCCTGGGGAGCTGTGGAGAGGGGCTGTGCCTCAGTGGTAGAGCCTCTGCTTAGCATGCAGAAGGTCCAAGGTTCAATCTTCGGGATCTCCAGTTTGAATGACCAGGAAGCAGGTGATGTGGAAGTTGTCCACCTGTCAAGTTGCAGCCAGTTACAAAGACTGATCTCGATACACCAAGAGTTAGACTCGGTGTAAAGCAGCTCTAGTTGCTTTATGTTTGTGACAGTGCGTTTAGATGTCATATGTAAAATATATGATATTTTAATTTCATACGTATTGATAATTTCATTGATATGTGATACATAGGGAGGCTGTGGGTCAGTGGCAGTGCATCTGCTTGGCATGCAGAAGGTCCCATGTTCAATCCCCAGAACCTCCTTTTAAAAGGACCAGGCAGTAGGTGATGTGAAAGATATCCACCAGAGACCCTGGAGAGATGCTGCCAGTTACAAACAAGACTGACCTCAATACACCAAGGGTTAGATTCAGTGTAGAGCAGCTTCAATTGCTTTATGTTTATGGCAGTGTATTGAGATGCTGTTTGTACAATATATGACATTTTAATTTCGTTCATGTGATAGGTATGTATATATGGGTGGGGGTTGTGGCTCAGTGGCAAAGCATCTGCTTAGCATGCAGAAGGTCTCACATTCACGCCCCAGCATCTCTGTTTAAAAGGACCAGGCTGTAGCTGATGTGAGAGACCCTGGAGAATTGTTGGCAGTCTGAGTAGACAATACTAACCTTGATGGACCAATGGTCTGATTTAGTATAAGGCACTTTCATGTGTATTCATGTGTGCATTATAGACAAGTAAATGGAAAGAGCTATCAGATATCTGGTTGCCTTCCTTGTATGTCGATTTGGACATCGGCAGGTAGCATTTCAGAAGAACAGGGATTCTGGAAAAGAGGAAACTCAGTCTTGTTTGAACACTGCTTATCTTTTGTTTTCTCTTTTTAGAGATGATTAACTTCTTTGGCACGTAGAGTTATAATGTGGTGGCCGGGACGGTCTCTGCCATGGCTTCAGAACTTTGCAAGACTATATCTGAGGCAAAGCTTGAAAGGCACAAGAACTTGTTCTTAAACTACCGAAATCTGCATCACTTTCCTCTGGAACTGCTGAAGGATGAAGGTCTGCAGTACTTGGAGCGACTCTATATGAAGAGAAATTCGTTGACCACTTTGGTATGATTTTATTTTTTAAAAAAAAACCCTAGCAGAATGTCCTCAGCAATGTCCTCAGGTGTTTGTGTGTGGAAGATTTAATCACTAAGTTCTGTGTTTTATTTTTCCCCCTGAGAAGTGAACTTCCTACAGTGTACCATTGCCCGGATGCAGCTTTACAGTCTCAGTGAGAACTAGTCAAAAGTGGGCTCCTATGAGGAGCGCTTTGTCCTGATTCCTAGGCCTTGAGGGAGCTTGCAGGTGGTTGGCCACTGTGAGAAACAGGATGCTGGACTAGATGGACCGCTAGTCTCATCCAGCAGGACACCACTTACGTTACATGGGAAACCTGAAGGACATGCTAATTGCCTCTATGTAGCTGTTACCTCTTTCTTTTTCAGGGTGCTTCTTGTTTGTCATGTGTGCTGCCTTCACTGAGGATCGATGATCCCATTCTCTCGGCTGTTTGAAAGAAGTGCATTGTGGTGTATCTTCCAAGCATGTTCTCCATCCTCACCTTTGAACAAAGCAGTCTTTGAAGATGCTTAGCAGGTCATGTTTCAGTGGCCACATTTATTGCCTTTGCAATAGAGTTGTCTTGACTTATTTATTTATTTATTTTATTAATCCAATTTGTACCCCGCCCTCCATGCAAAGCAGGCTCAGGATGGCTCACAGTCAATATATGAATAACAGTGAAAACCACATGAAATCATCTAAAAACAATTGAAGTTCATAAAGTGCAATTAGTTTGAGATGACTTACTTTAAGGATGTACACAGAGGTCTCATTCTGCTTTAAGATCTTCCTGCGACACAGGCTAGATGTCAAAACCAAGGTCCAGCCTACCTGAGGGACTGCCTTTCCCCACATGTTCCCCCAAGAGCACTACGGTCGGGGGCCTAAAACTTGCTGGTCATCCTGGGCCCCAAGGACATCAAATTAGCTGCGACCAGGGCCAGGGCTTTTTCGGTGGCGGCTCCTACCTGGTGGAACGAGCTCCCGGGGGAGATCCGGGCCCTGCGGGACCTTATGCAGTTCCGCAGGGCCTGCAAGATGGAGCTCTTCCGCCAGGCCTTTGAGTAGGAGCCGCCCC